GAGAGAGAGAGAGAGAGAGAGAGAGAGAGAGAGAGAGAGAGAGAGAGAGAGGCTCTTTGGATATGACACCAGAAATATTAATTCATTCGGAAATGAGTTCACATAAAAAGTGCGGAAATTTATAATTTATAAAGGATTTTTGCATTTCATATTCAGATCATATATTAAGTGACCACTTGTTAAACAAAAGAAAATTAAGTTTAAATAAAAACACTGCAAACTCACCGCTTGTTGTCATCAAAGCTAGCATTTCTCCGGCTCTCACATCAAAACTAATGTCATTTAAAACTTTTAACTTTTGGCGCCGAACTCCGCAAAGCCTTCTCCACGTCGAGGACTTATCCAATTCATAGTAAAGACCGCTCACAATGAGATGCGGGTGTTTCGCAGGAATAAGACCCGACATATCCATTTTGGACAGAGAAAAGCCCTCATTCTTTGCGCCATTCATTTTACTGTTAGGAAATCTCAGATCGGTTTCACTTTGAGACTTATTGTTGCCAGAAATCAATGATTGACTCGTAATATGTTTCGATTCTGGTCTTTGATGATTATGTCTGTGATTTCGCTCGTAATGCGATGTCATGAGAGCTGATTCCGTGTGTGTCCTCAAGAGATCGGGATCACTCTTCCACGTTCTCTTCGCTTCTTTGCGCTCCATATATGGAGAATCCGATGCATTGCTTGAATCCGTATTCATGTGATGATTGGCTCGAATGTGACCATTAGTGGGATGAGTTCCCGAAGCACTAGTAATGCCTTCGCCCCGCTTTACACCCCCTCCGATCTCACTCTGAGTGGTCTTAACCCGCGGTAAACCGAACCTAAGGTAAGTGTATGCGTCCTGATTCTTGAATCGGGGGCCATATTTTGGGTGGTTTAGGATATTATTCACTGTCGTCTCCTTGAGCTGGAAATTACCGAAAGGCCGCTCAGAATTGTTGCTCTTATTTACTCCGAGCGCCGATTCGCTGAAGTCTGCGTTCAGATTCTGTCTATATATAGACCACGCGTGAAGATCTTCCGAGTTATTAAAACCATTGGCTCCGCTATAAGGAGTAGAATATTTGCGCGCCTCTGAGTCCCACATACTATACAATTTGGTTATGTTATCTGTATATTGAATACAAATAGAAATTTATGAGATTTGATGCGAACATCAGATTAATAATTACTTTTAAAAAACTTTCAGTTCAGTTAACAATTGAATAAATGGGGCTTTAATTCACGTTTTGACACAATTACTGACATGAACTTCAGATTCAGTTCGCTTTCAGTCCATATGCTTATTAAATATAAGTTAATTAATTCTTTTCATACTAAATGTTTTTCTTCTGTTAAGTCTATTGTTTTGAATGAATGTGAGGAACACTTTATCTACTTTTTTTTAAACAATTTTATGAAATTATCGAAAATCATGTATTAAGGAAATTCTTTAGTATCTCAACCTCTGACCGGTCTATAAGAACTACATAACTGCAGATACAGTACTTAATGTACAGTACAGTGATGTTTATATGGCATGTATTCAATACAATAGTCAACTCTTTCCTAACAATTGAATACTACTTAAGAAGTGTAAAGAAGGGCTAACTTTGCTTTTAGTCTAAAATTTGTTGTAAAATTTCATTTTTTAAAAATCTTACAACAATTGTAATCATATTGTTTATCTCACGAAGAGCTCAATTCAGTTTATTTTTTTCCAAATACTTGTTTTGATCGCCAGTTTATGTCTTCAATCAAACGTGTATTTATTGTTAAACACACATTAGTTTTTGTCACTTTTGTTTGGTTTTACAATCAAATATTTCTCATTTTTTACATTACAAGAGAAACTCCAAACATCGAAACACTTGTATTTGGTTTGCTATAAGACTTTAAACTGAACAAAAACTGTCAATCATTCATGTATTTGTTATTTTGTGTAAATATTTTCAAGACTCCGATCATAAGATAAATTCCAGTTATATAAATATCAATGTTTTATAGTGTATTTCAATCATAATATAATTACCACATATTAAATACCCATGATATTTACATTCTTATCAATTATATTATGATATCTATAATAATACAATAATAATATACAATGTATATTTCCAATGATTACATACTGTATGTAAAAATAATTTTAATTGAAAATTGATTTAATTTTAATATAATTTTTATCGATCCAATCAAATAATCTTTTGATTGAAATATCTTTAAAATAAAAGTCAATTTCCTTTAAATACATTTCTGGAATCTATTTCTAGCATTATTCTAATATAATAGCAGTTTTAAAAATATATTTTATTATATCCTATTCAACATAGCATTTGCTTGGAAATAAGTTCGACGCCTCCTTTTACATAAGAAAATAACATTAAAAGATTAATTTGTTATTTATTATTATATTAATTATATTATATTAATTATAATATATAATTTGATAAATACTTCATCAATCATTAATTGCAACTATATATCAATTCCTATCCATAATATTCTCGAATAATTTCCATAATGAGACGTTCACATATTACTTTTGCACTTTATTAAAAATTTAAACCCCCTTCCCTCTATGTTCGTAATTGTTCGCATGCAGTTCTTTTTAAAAATTACGTTGGCATGTCCCTAACCCTACCCCACCCCTCAGAAATAAAACAATTTCTATTCAAGTAATATAATTATTCAAAATTTGTTATCAAACCGTTTTGCAACTTTAATAAAAATTAATCCGTAAATTGTTTAAGTGCGAACATTCTTAAGGACTTTACCCCTCCCCCTCGTTCGCAAGTTCGCTTTGTCCGACACCCCTTCCCCAAGTGTGAACGTAACATGTGAAGGTCCCTTAATTTATAACTTAATGAAACTAATTATTTATGAAATTGTGTGTAAATTTGAGTACTAATATGAGATTATTTAAAATACGAGACAAATTTATAAATATGATCTTTCACATTTTAGAAATAATTAAAACACAAGTTAAAGTTATGTATAAGTTATACATAATCGCTGACAATAGTATATATAAATAATAATTATACGGATGACAAACCTCATTGAAATTAGTGAATAATAGATGAAAATAAAAGCAAATAATATGCAAAGAAGTGCTGTCTTCTCGCTGTTTATGAAATGAAATCAATTATAAGTATATGTGATCTGATGTCTGATGTATCGCAACGACGATTCCTTACAAATATAACAAACACTGAATGACAATAAGACACAGAATTTAATGTTGAATATGAATTGAGTTTTGAATTGTTTTCGGCGTTTAAGAAGTGGAAAAACAAAATGAAAGGAATTTTCAAGACTTGCCTCACAATGTAATTGTATGGACAGAGGGGTAGGACTGGCTGTCAGAGCACTTCTATCTCGCTCTCGTACCTCCGATTTTTACAATGCATTTAAAAATGTGAAACGTATTCGTTAGGCAAAGGTATGAGCGCTCACAACAGTTGGCACAGGTATGTGCTATAGAGTAGTGTTGGTAGTGATGGTAGTGCTGGTAGTGGTGGTGTGATTACCAATAGGATTACCCCATCCCCGACCTAATTATACCCAAAGAACGTCGTCGACCTCCACAACACTCCACAACCACTTCCACACCAAACAGGTTTCAAACGCTTAGATCACAGCCAGAGAGGCGTTCTCTCCCTTCTTCTCTCTATCTTTTCTCTTCAATTCTTATAACAATATTATGTAAAAAATTTATTATTTATTTCGTTTGAAAAATTTGTTTCGTTTGCTTTGCTCTTTGAATTTCACATCAAAAGTGTTTACGAAAACTCATTTCCCACTAAATGTTGAGAATATTTTAATTAATTGATTAGATGTTAGTTTATGTAGACTTTCATTGGAAAATACATTATAAATCAGTTTTAAGACCAGTTTTGTGTTTGTTATTCCAGTCTGGGATGCGGTTCAGCGCTTTTTATCGGGTGTTGGACTCGTCGTTATAATCAACCATTTAAAAGACCAGCCAATGGTTTCACAAATATACTTATTATTGTTATTTTAATTCATTTATTGAACATTTTAAGTGATTAACGAATAAGTTTCTAACATTTTGCTTACAAGTAAAATAGTATTTAAAAGATTATGTGATTCCTGAGCGACTTGTTTTGGTTTTTTAATTTTAAATACTTAAATATTTGTAATTATCAATACTTTCATCATTATCTACATGTTATGCACAAAACGTTTTAAACATTCTTGGATTGAAAGTTTTGTTTGATTAATTGATCATTTTGGAAATTATTATAATATATAATACATTCGTCCCATAACTGACCCATATATCCTTCACCACTATACCAAAGGTATGTTAATTTTATTATAACTCTTCTAATTTGTAAAGTTTATAATCTAAATAAAAAACAGTGGTTTACTAGTTATTAAGGCTGTCTATCAGTTATATTTGCATTGTCTGTATAAACTTTGAATCGGTTAAGAGGGTTGCGGAGGAGGGGATCCTATGAACAAACTTATAGTTTTAAATACAAAATATATCATGATCAATTCAATTATACAACATTATAGCATTAGATAATTATGAATATAATGATGCCATAAATTTTGAATGCATAAAAAAATTTCCCCAAATTATTTAATTTTAAATTATTCTTTAATATTAAACCATTGTTTAAATATTTGTTTGCATTTTTATAATATATCAAAATTAATGTTAAAATATGGCAATAATTTAGATGAGTTTTGGAGCACCTGCTGGTGTGGAAACAGTTTCGATACCACATATGTTGGAACTGATTGGGGTCTCGCATAGCGGGCCAATTGTACCCAACAAATCATCATGTTGGTCCAGAATGACCGGATCCATTGCATCCGGACTTATACTTAAAGACATATCATGTGAGGTAATGAACGAATTTTTTTTTTGGATTAACGATATTAGTAAAAATAATATTGTATGATCTAAAATAATATTATTTGTGAACTGGTTCAATTATTTTTAATCTACATTAATAATATGCTTGAAAGAACTTCACTGACAACTTGAAGTAAAGTTTACAAAAATTAAAGACTAGTTTTAAAAAGTTATAAAAATAAACACTTTATTGAATTAAAATGGTATAAAGAAGTGAATGTAAAATAAATTTTGCACGCATTTGAAAACTAAATAAAACGTTAAAAACATTTCAATCACGAATTCAATAGAATAGATCCTAAAATAGATTACATTATAATAATAAAAATATTTATATCTATTAAATATTAAATTGAAGGTACATTCGGGTGAAGTGATGGCTATATTGGGAAGTAAGGGTTCGGGTAAAAAAGCATTGATTGATGTGATGGGACACCGAGTAAGTCAGGGCAGCACAAGAGGACAAATTCTGCTAAACGATGTTCCGCTCACTTTACGCCTATTCCAAGAACAGTGCGGTTTTGTCTCCAAAACCACTCAACACATCGACGGTCTGAGTGTTAGACAAACGTTGAGTTATATCTCGCAGATGACAATCAGAGGCAATGGATCTCTGAAAAGAGGTCGAGTGAAGCAGGTGTTGGCAGATCTGGCGCTCACTAGTGTTGCCAAACGAGATGTCATGGATCTGAATGTTTCCGAAAGAAAACGTCTGGCGATCGGCATTCAGATGATTAGAGACCCACTGTTGCTGATACTCGACGATCCAACCAAAGACTTGGATCCACTCAACACATACTTTGTTGTATCCATTCTATCAAATCACGCAAAGAAATATCAGCGGATAGTAGTGTTGACGATGGATAAACCGCGATCAGACATCTTCCCATTCCTGGATCGGGTCACATATCTATGTCTGGGAGATGTGGTCTACACGGGAAGTACCCGAATGATGATCGACTATTTTAGAGGAATTGGTTTCCCGTGTCCTGAGTTAGAAAACCCTCTCATGTATTATCGTAAGTACAGCTCCTTTTCAAAGATTTGCCAAACATTTTAGTCTAATGTCTGAAATTATTCCTTCAGTCTGTTTATCGACTGTCGACAGAAGAAGTAGAGACAGGTTTATAGAGTCTTCGGCACAGATCGCAGCTCTGGTCGATAAGTTCAAAGTGGAGGGACACGAGTACCGCAAATATATAGGCCCTCCGACACAGATTCCGGTCAACATTCCTCTGACGGCATACGGAAGGGCTTCCTCTTGCAAAGTGATGACGTCCTTAATATCGAGACAATTCATGTCTGCCTTCACTCTGCGAAGACTATTCATCCGTATACTAGTATTGCCGATGTTTTGTGCATTGCTTTACTGCTTCATTGCTCCCCAATTGGATAACACACAGAACTCATTTCAGTCACGGAGTGGTCTCCTATTCAATGTGTTGTCTGCCATCACTTTTATCGCTCCGGCGATCACTGCCTATACCTGTGAGTCGATTAACAATTTTTATTAAATTTTTCTCAATTAATAAAAAATGAATTCATTTCACGCTTTCGATTGTCAGTCGCTTCACATCGGAATCGATTCTACGAGGAGTCGTCCCGTTTAGCCCTATATAGGGGTCCCGTCTTTATAATCACACAAATTATAGCTAACCTTCCCATCAATTTACTGACCGTATGGTCGGCCGGAACTGTTGTCTATCTGTGTTCACAACTACGGTATGATGACTACTGGCTGGAGAGGTGGAGTATATTCTGTGCCATACTTTGGGCCATTTATGCGTTCACTGAACAGCACACCATTGCTGTCATGTGTTTCGTGAAATCGCCGTTTATGGCGGCCGTCACCACAATCTATTGCCTCTCATTCCTTCTGGTGTTGGGAAGCACTACATTGAGGTCGATGTTGGCGGCACCCGATTGGCTGTATTACATCAACTTTGGCAACATATACTACTGGTCCGGTTGGACATTGCATTTCAATGAATTTCAGGACAATGAAGCACTCGTCAGGACTCCATTCATGGCCGAGAACTCCACAGTCGAGGTCTGTCTCGCAAATATCGTTCCCGGAAAATGTGTTTTTCTCAATGGAAACCACTTTCTGGACCAACGCTTGAAAGAAGTGAAAGACATCCCGGAGTGGTCTCTAATCTATTGGAAAAACTTTGCTTTCATTTACATATTTGTGATCGCATTTTATTTATTCAATACAATCGTATATATGATTCCACTCACGGCTTCTCTCAAATCCAAATTTCGCGATTAAATCCATTATAAAAATTCATTATTTAATCACAAATAATACCATCATTTTTAAACTATTTAGATAAATAATTTATTTGATGATCACATCTTAAACCAAACCATAAAATGACATAAAATTGATTCAAAGTAAAGCTGTATTATAGAGAAAATCATATTGTATTTTAACTAATTATTAAAATGGATTACTTAATGGAAATGGCTTTGTGTTGATTAGACAACAGGAGAATACTGTAATCACTTTTAATATTTAATATTCTGGTTTGATATAAAAAATAAATATGTTTTACAAATATTTATATCAATTGAAACGCTTGACAAATAAAATTACTTCTTATGATTGAGAACTTAAACATTTGTTGTAATCATTCACTACACAAACACTACACAAATATATTTAATGTTTCAAATGTCGAGAGCTCTTCAATTAAATTGTAATTTTAATGAATGAAATTGACTTTATTTTCAATACTTATAAGTTTACAATGAGTGGTAAATTCATTAAACAATTTGCAATGAAACAAGATTTGAGGTTAAATGCTGTATAATATGTAAATGTGAAATAATTATATAATAAAACCAAATGATATGAAAGAAGCTAAATAATAATAAAGCAATATTTTTCAATTATATACTGTATATTGTAACTCTAAATAACGCATATAATGGTCAAAATCTCATTAATTATCTCAAACTTATATAACTTATGAAAACTGAAAAACAATGTTAATCTTCGGTAACTATCAAATGTTCATCAATTAAAGCATTTATAAAAGTGTTGCAAAATATAAACAAAACAGATTCTGCACTTTTAAACAGAATTTGTTAGTATAAATGTTTATTGCCCTTGATTTTTGGGAAATTGTATCATTAGTTCAATCATTTCAATGTTGATTGTAGTATAGGGTTAAGTAGTCTTTAAATATTCAATTGATAAAAATAGGTAATCATCAAAACTGTAGTCATAAACGGCAAACAAATTACAAATCATGTGTTCATCTCTCTGTTCAGTCATTAAATCCAATCCAATATAATATCCAACAATATATTGATTTATATTGAAATGAATGGCAAAGACTATTGAGATTTGTTTTCATACGAAGACATTTTGTTTTCAAGAGAGATGACCTGTTGTCGCAACAAATGGTTATCATTGAGGGCGTCATCCCTTTCCTGTGCCAACTGATCGAACTCTGCCCTCAGGTCGTCGTCATCGAGACATAGAAGACGTTTAACTTCGTTGAGGTTTGACTGATGGCTCTCCACCTGAGCGCTCACTTTGCGCTTCAAGTCATTAATTTCGTTGAGAAGAGCTATGCATTGGTTATTAGATGTGTTCAGAATATTCCTCCTGAGGGCCGCCTGAAGAGCCAACACATTGTTTTGTGAAACCTTTAAACTGTTTTGCGTTCGCTTTAACTCTCTTTCGACGTTTTGCTTGGCGTTCGCCACAGTCTTCAGCTCTACTCTCAAGTTCTCCCCCTCTTTATCACTTCCGTTAGACGTCGACTGTTTTGACCGACTTCTGGCTCTTTTCAACTCCAAGTACCTATTCTTCCAGAGCTCCCAATCGTTGGATATTTGGTCGATATCTAGACTATTAAAACCCGACTGTCGGACGACTTCAAACAGATTATTCATTTCAATGTCAAAGTATTCAATGTTTGTGTAATTATTTGTAAAATAAATATTATTGGGTTTAATGTCTCGGTTTGGCATCAATTGAAGCATATTTTGTTGCAAACACTTTGTTGTCGACAATTCAGGACTCGAGACGATATCGTTGTCGTTATCGTTGTCATCGTCGGTGTCCTCTAACCTCACTTTCCCGCTCTCATCCACTTCTATCTCAACGTTCAGATGATCGACAAAACAGTCGATCGACTCTTCGTATTCTTCCGCTTCCACTTTCACTTGAATGGGTAATGAAATCTCATTGTCATCGTTACTGTTGGGGATCTCATCGTTGTTATCATTATTAATATTATTAGTATTTATAATACTATTAATAAATGACTTTCGATTGCTATATGTTTTTAATCTCTTTTGATTTGAAAAATGGCCACAAATATCATAATCTCGTTGTTGTTTAAGACTGTTTTGCGATGAAATGGTAACCAATGATTGCTTTTGAATGAGAGACACCTTTGAACTCGTTTTGGGAGTCGTCTTGTAATTGGTTTGATTGGCGTCAGTGACGGCCACTCGAGTATCGCTGGGATCGTGAAGATGCTGTCCAGAGCTGGAACTGATCACATCACTGATGGTCACAACCGTCGCTTTGCAGCCCTTTGTCCGGCACTTCCAATAAGACCTCTCGTCCACCGATTTGTTGATGTGATAGAAGAAGCCGTTGAGACAAAGAGCTCTTCCGTTACGCCTCGTGGCCACAAATGTCACCGAATTGTTGTCCATCGCCTTATCATCAGCGCTGCCGATGACTACACTTCCAGACATACCGTTCACACACACAGACATCAATGCATTGGCCAATCAAACAATCAGTCAAATAGGCTTTGTTTTGATGGCAAATGCTTTTCATACAAAACAATAATCAAATCAAACACTAAATTGTGATTCAATTTTCACAACAAAAACAAATACTTTTGTTTTGGTTTTCACTCTTTCCGTGACTTTCAATGCATTCAATGGTAAACACAAATCACGACTCGTTTTGTCCGTACTTTCAAACACTTATACTTTTTTGGTCACAAATTGTTTGCTTTCACTTATTTTAATGCCATTTTAATTGTGGCAAACATTTGATTAAAAGGCAACAAAACTTCACATTATTTAGTAATTGAGTAAAACATATGATAATTGGTGTGAATTGTGTGCAAAGTGTGAGACAATGAGTGTATGTCTGGTATAGAGTTGTAGTGATTGCGCGAACCATTGATTCACATCTCATTCGCGTTCACAACATATGACTCAATGTTTTGTCACGAGTTTTGTCTGCGATTTGAAAGTCTAGAAAAGTTGATGAGTTGTTGTCGTGAATGCAATGCGAGTATTGACCACATCTTCATGCGATACGTCATGTCCTGGAAGTGATAATCGGTGACAATCGGTGATAATGTCGGGTCAGTCGGAGCGGCAATGGATGCCAACAATGCGGTCGCCTTTCGTCAGCTTTAATGATATGTTTAATTTGGTTCACGAAAAGGGACTCAAAGCGGGCTTTTATAACTCAATTGCTTTAATATTTCTATTGTTTGTAATAATCATAATATATATGTGTTATTGGATTTTACAACCGTTTGTGCGGCCATTGGTTTGGGCCATACTCTGCGGATCAGCTCTTCATCCCTTCAAACGACAGCTAATACTGTATTCACGCAAATGGATAACAGATCTGCGAAGAGAGAACACACCAATCACTTTAGGAACCGTTTGCCTCCCCTTCTGTATCATCAATAGTACCACCGATTCAATGGTCAGATTCCTGATGAAGTATATGAAGCAAATACTAGTGATTGGTTTCGTAATGTTATTACACAACTACTTCTTCAACGCGATGGACACTATCTGTGAATACTTGTATATATGGCTGTTATCTACCATTGAATGGTTGAGTGTAATCATGTGGTTCTGGACTCACGATGACTACACGTTTCCCATCACAAGCATAACAATTGCCTACTTTATAGTTCTCATGTTTGATTGGTCTCTCTCTACACAAGAGTATTTCATTTGGTTGTCACCATTTGTATTGCTATTATTCTCAGTGCATATCATTTGCTTATTTGGTACTTATGGACACATATTGTCCACAATTATAATCTCAATTATACTCATCGGTCTGACAAAGACTATAATCACCGGACATATGAGTCCGCACGCCAGCGACGAAACCGATGGATTCGTTAGCTTTTCCATCAAAATCAAGAATAAAGTGATTTCATTGATAAAGTTAGTCAACAATTTGATTGTGAATCAAGACAATGAAGAGTTGGTCGTCGATAATGATGACCATCCAAATGGTGAACACGAGCCACAAACCGATGATAATAGTGAGGGAAAAGAGGTTGCGTTCAGTCCTAAAGAGCCACTCAATGTGGACAAGAGTTCAAATACCCGGAGGACTAGTTGTATCTCAATTAAGACAAACAATGAATATCAAAGTAACACATATTTGTTTGCGGTGTTGTGGGCCGTTGTGATCGTCCAGATGTGGTCTCACTCTAGTCTTATTTATTTGCTTCCCATTCCTATTGTCATCAAAATAGTCACTTTGTTATGGAATTATATATCAAGTGTTTTAATGAATAAAATTCAACGATTGAACCAATTTATAGAGAATCGAAATCGAGCCCTATTTAATCCAGTCCTGCAATACATCTACAATTATTTTATAATCGGAGATCAAGTGGTAATTTATAACATTAATAGTTTTGTTGTCATTTGATTGTAACGTTTGTGTAAAATATAAATTTAATGATTCAGATAATGGATTTTGTGGAAACATCTTTGAATGGTTTGACCAGTTTATCGGTGATAAGTGTGACCATTATCTCGATTCTATTCATTGGTGTGTTTATGTCAATTCAGGTCTGTTTTGAGATATGATTTAGTTGTACTGTAAAAACTGATAAGATATGCAAAAACATTTGTACAGATTTATGGAGAAAGTCTTCATTTAGTGAATTTGATGAGTAATGTATTTAATAAGACTCTAAGCTATTATCCGGAATCGTCTCAACTCTTACCCGAGAGTCTGAAAGGAGTGGACGGAATGCTCGATGAAATGGTTAGAAATGGCTACGAATACGGCCGACAATACATTAAGAATTCTGTTAGAAATGCTCTCAACGTTGACTCCAATGTCACTCAAAGCAAAGCCGTAGAGAAACAGATTCTTGAAGTAATTAATAATGCATTTTATAGTTGACAATACATTAACAGTATTTATACGGCAGATATGGGACAGAGCTTACCATTTATGGTTAATTCGCAACACTAATGAAACGGATTCGTTGCCAAAGAAAGGTCCCTATGATTTCGATAAGCTATACAATGCACTCAAAACTTTGGATCTCAACCTTTGCTTCAATATTGTGAAAGAGAATATCGATACAGTAGTCTCAGTGTTTGATTCCGTATGGCTTCTACTAAAAGGCAACTTTACTCTACTTTTCTCGGCCATCGCAGCCGTATTCTCCACTCTATTGGGCGGAGGCTTAGGGCTAATGAATCTCGTGTTTAGTTTTGTAAGTTTAATACATGTTCTCTACATTAATGATTCAAATGATATGCATCTATCCTATAGATAATCTTCATGACAGCCCTCTTCTATTTGTTATCCGCGAGTGGAGAGTACTATAAACCGGTAGAACTCGTGAACCAAATATTTCCTTCGGAAGTAACGCCAAATGATATCAACAATAGTACCCCTAATCTGTCGGCCAATAGTAAGTTAGGCCGAGCTGTGGAGGAGGCCGTCAACGGTGTGTTCGCCGCGTCGCTTAAGATGTCTGCTTTCTATGGTCTCTATACATGGCTTATTCATACACTCTTTGACGCCAGTATTGTTTACATACCATCAGGTAATAGCAATTTAATTACTCAATTGATTGGTTAACCATTTCTGACAAAAACAATTAAAATGCATATCATATGCAGTGATGGCCGCTATGTTCGGTGCCATTCCTTTTATCAGTGCATTTTGGGCATCATTTCCAACGTTTTTGGATCTCTTCTTCGTTCAAAACCAGACAACAAAAGCGATTCTACTATTAATTACCGCTTATTTTCCGGCATTTTTTGTTGACTCAACAATTTATAGCGAAATCAAAAGGTTTGTGTCAATCAATTAGCGAACAATTAATGAATCTTTTGTATCTCAATGTAATAGTGCGGGTCATCCATACCTGACAGGTCTGGCCATTGCGGGCGGACTTTTCTATTTGGGATTTGAAGGCGCTTTCTTCGGACCTTTTCTCTTATGCTGTCTATTCGTCGCCTTCAATATTTATAAAGATATTATGCAAGAAAGTAGTGTAACAGCCGTCCCATCGGATCGCACGCCTCACTCAACTCGCAGACCAAAAGATTCTCACAAATTGTTGCGAATGAAATCCTCGTATTTAAATTAACGTATCTTTTATTCATTTTTATTGTTTAAATGTTTTTATTTTATTTAATAAAATTAATGTTACTTTTTATCCGATAAGAAGTCTTTTGCGGCCGCGAAGCCTAACCGCTTCTAAACGCTTTAAGACATCGTTTTTCGGTGTCTTTACTATATTTTCGTCATAAGACTGAAGAAGTTTATCGAAATGGATGTCGGGATGAGAACTGAGGATCACTTTCTCGAGAACATAGAGATCAACGGCTCTGTCTTCGGCTGACGTGGAGAATGAGGCCAATCCGAAGTCGATTGGAATCAATAGGTTTTGTTTGGGTTTAATCATGAAGTTAGAAGTGGTTAAGTCTCCGTGAATGACACCGCAGTTATGGATCCGAGCGATCACTTGTCCCAAACTCACTAACAGTGAATCTATCACTTCATCCGATTGGCCATCACTTAGATATTGGGAGACATTCACTGAGTCTTCAATTAGTGTCATAATTATATTGTTTTGATCGACAAACAGAATCGATGGCATGATTGGACCCAATTCTGGCGACTTCTCCTTCACCTTCATTATGGCTCTCACTTCAGCCCTAATCCTCTCTTTAGTGATTTTAGTGTTCAATTCAGTGATCCTATAGTTCTTGACGAACCTCTCCTTCTTAACCACATGTAATCCATTGTAAACTCCGGACCAAAGTCTACACTCAGCGCCGCGAAACACAATCGACCACTCGTTCACACCATTGCTGGCCGTTGTATCGCTTCCCACGTCCGGACCCACCGTCTCGTCACTACTTTTCGACATATTTACTCACTTTTACTATTAAAACACATTCAATAATACAGTCAATGAATTTGAGTGTCAATTAAAAGTGAGGACAAAATGAAAAAACAATTTAAACGTAAGGCTTATGTAATGTTTGGCAGAGAATGAGTACTATTTGTTACAATAAAGTAGTAATAAAGCGATTGAGTGTTTGAGACATAAAAGGGTAGGAAATGCTAAACACGTGTTTGTGTTGTGTTTCATAACAACAACTGTTTGGCAAACGTTTGAAATTGTGTTTCAAAAATGAGTCAACAATTGGGAGACAAAGAGGTCGGCGAAGAAGTGACGCCAATGAACGCCGAGTACTCTTTGGCCCCGTTTTGCAATTGGTTTCTGCCCTCATGTCTGGACATGTGGTCATCAGGTGATGGCCAGAGGGTGTTGTGTTCATACGGCGCCCGATCTATGGTCTGTCTGTTGACACTAACCGCCAGTAAATCAATCAAATGTTACGATTGTCTCAATGTCTTCAACAACAATAAGTCCATCATTTCCTGCAACAAGTTTAGCAGGACTTCGAGGATTCCCTACCTCTTCGTCGGTTCCAATGACGGCGAGGCGGCGCTTATCAATTGCAATGATACCAATCATATAATGTATCCCAAGATTGATATCAAAGATTTAGATTTGCCGTCGAAGAAGATCTTATCGGCCGATTGGTCTCATGTGAGCGACAAATCAGTGGTTTATTACTCCATTCATTCGGTTATCATTTGTTGGGATTTAACGTTAGGAACGATGGAAAAGCTGATGATTGGCGACAATTATCGCAACAAAATCGCCATCTCTTGTATCGTTTCCAGTGTTTGCGGTCAGGAAAAGTTGGCCATCGGGTGAGTCCACTCTTACTCTGCACACTATATATGAGAACTAATTATTTGCTTATTCTTCCAGATATATGAATGGAGACATAACTATAGTATATGTGAATAATATGGCAGTTATTAATGTGGAGCAAAGTCTAAGCGGACATAACGATGACATTTGTTCCCTTTGTTTCGGTTGGTCCGCCGGTCAGTACGCGGACGGAGTCTTAGGGTCGATATCTCGCGACGGATTCGTTAAGATATGGGATGTATTCCGAAAGCATAACATCGCAGACATTAAATTAGATGCAAACAAATCCAAAAATAAGAATTGGTTTTCTTTAGCAGTCATTCCGAACAGCGGTTCCAATAAATTCGAGTTTATTATCGGCTCTGGAAGTGGAGATTTGTTGTGCATTGAAATCCCAAATAAACCGCCGGACAGTAAAATACGAGTTCACAAACCTTTGAGTTTTTACAAAAGCAAGTCTTTAAGTCACTCTTCAGTCGTATTCAGTATCGCTATTGACGTGAAAACAATGTTAGCCATCACTTCCTCACTCGACCACCAAATTATTGTTTGGGATCTCAACGAAAGGAAAGCCATCTCTTCATTGAATACATTCAGTTATGGAGTGCACGAGATATCTGTTTCGCCAATTGATCCAAAGAGAGTGGCCATCGGTATCGGCGAAGGCTATCAAATCAATCGATTTGATGAAGAGTTGAATGTTTTACAGCAAAGAAGATTTTCGCCTCAATTCAAATCAAAAGATACCAAGACTTTAGCCGTTGTCTGGCATCCAGAATATGAGAATCGTTTGGCTTACGGCACGTCATCAGGAGATGTGGTCGTTGTGGACATCCATTCAACACAAAAAGGTGCCAAATATTCTACTAAAAGACCTCCAATTGATTCCACAAAAATCTATTGTCTTGTTTGGGGACCATCTTTGGAAGATAATGAAGAATCCACTCTTTATTGTGTCCATCAAAGCGGGAAAATGTATTTGCATTATATCTCAAGTAATAAAGTCTTAAATTTTATTCATTACGTCAACG